CCCTGAAATGAATCAGGGTGGGATGTAATAATGTGAAGTTAGAGATAATCTCAAGTCATTGAGACATAACGCATAAACCCCATAGCTCTGCAATATATGTGAGAATGTAAAAAACCCAACTATTACTTAACTCTACTGTCATTTTTCTTTGTGTTTTGAAAATTTTTCCCACTTCTTTGGACTGGTTTAGCCCAATTAACTGCTAGTAACTGAATCATGCAGGACGTGTTATTATCAGTATTTCTTAAAACATTTCTTCCTGTGTTTTGCATCCAGAAACTATGTTAGAGAAAAGTAGTTCATGAGTGTTAGTGGACTACCCTAGATGGTAGCCCAGCCACTGGGATAGTGGTGGAGGAAACATGAATGGGTGACACAGCTGCTTCTGGCTACTCTCTCTGCTTCATTCATTACTTTTCTCAGTAAGTACTGCTCTCTGCATGACTAAAAAACAAAAAACAAAAAAACCACCCCAAAACCAAAAACTCCAAATATATCAAAATGGTCTGAAACTCAAAATAAAAGCATTATCTGCTGATAAGAAGTAGCAACATCTTCACATTTTGACTTACCTAGGCCCAGAGCTGCGAAGACTTGCAGTAAATAAATTCAGCTGATAGAAAACCATTAAACCTGATATATCTGTAACAGAAATTGATTGCTTTGGAGATTTCTTTTTCTTTATGTGAATTATATTTTTTGTGAAGAAAAAATTTACTGATAAAATACAAGGAGGAGCAGTAAGTTGACCAAGTGTGTGAGCACCTCCTGTAACAGTAACAGTTGCAGTAAATTCTGATTGGCACAGGAGTACGAAAATGAGTGGTGCTGCCCTGGTGCTCATGCCAGACCCAAGATACCATTCATGTGACAAAAAAAAAAGGTGACCTAAAAATCATATATTTTTCCTTAAAATTTATGTTGGTACTGCTACTCCCTTAGGTTCCAGCTTTTGAAAACCCTGTACCCCAACTACACATATGGTGAATAATGCTCTAAATAAACTTCTTTTGGTCAAGAAAACCTCATATAAAGGCTTCCAAAATATGCAGTATAGTAGTACCTCAAAAGGGGGCAATGTTGAATGTACATAAACTTATGAGAGGCTTCCACTTACAGACATTATATTTTTTGTGTATTTTTTATGAAAAAGCCTTTCCCACTATTTTAGCTGGAAAAAAAAAGCATTTCAGTGCTCTGAAAAATCCCTCGGATACACAGAACTGCTCACCTGATTCAGAAAGATACAGTAAAACTCTTTAGAAAAAGACACAGAGATTTGTGAAAATGACTGGAAAATGGAATATATTTCATACAAGGAAAGACTAAATGGAGTAATTAGCATCAGTTTGGAAAATACCTAATAAAAGGGAAGGAAAATCTCATTGACAGCTGTATAATAAGAACTGTGTGAATACTGAGTGATTGCCCATATTTTCTCTGTAGAAAAGAATCATGTGGTGGCCCACGAAGTCTTTCAGGTAACAACTTTAAATAAAATATATAATCCTCCCCAAACTAACAGTTAAGTTGTGAAACTCACAATCACAGGGAATGCTGGAGTAAAAATTACACACATGTTCAGACTCTAGACAAATCTGGGGAAAGTATGTCCATGAAGGAGCATAAGATCCAAAACCTGAATTAAAACTGTCTCAGTAAGTTCCTGAAACAATTGTTGAAACAGGCAAGAGTTGAGACTACTGCTGTAACTGCTTGGCCACTGCCGCTGCCCTGCTACTGGACTGATAGCAGCAGCAGGGTGGACTGCATGATTTGAGTGTGTATAATATTCTTCTTTTCTTACATTGGTATTTCATTACCTTAGCTTCCCACCATCTTTTAAAATCAGGTAACAATATTATTCTCTTTAACATGCATGGAGATACGTGAATGAACAGCATTGTCAAAAACCAGTCAGAACAACAGCACCGCACATGCACAAATATGCCTCCATGTGGAAGCAAACACAAGATGAACAGTACCATGAAAACTAGAAATTATTTATTATCTGACATTGCAAGTTCAGCTATAAGCTTCAGGCCTATTTCTCCTCTTGTGTAGCATCACTGCAGGAAAAAATTCTCAAGGTTAAAGGTCCTGTGAAAAAGAACAAATCCTCAAAATACAGGACTGCTTTTGCAGGTTTGCCTCCTCCATAATCAAACAGGGTTACTCTGCAACAGTAGAAGGAATTGTTCTGGCAAGTTTACTGGCAAAGTAGCAACCAGAATGTACTTTCTAAATATTTTATATAGGATTTATGATAAGATGGAGACCATTAAGAAAATAATTCAGAAAATAATAAGCATGATCTTGCTTGATCTTAATAGCGCTTATTTAAGGCCAAAGTCTGCATTGTCCTCATTGTACCAAATTACTCAGAACTGGAGACAAACAACAACTTAAATCTCCTAAAGACAGGAACGCCTACATTCTTGCTAAAAATCTAACCAAAAGGTGCTCCTGAGGTTTCTCAGTTTTCTACCAAAGCCCCAGTGTTTGAATAATGCATAACTGTGTCTCCTCTCCTTGATAAAAAGGAGAAAAATGCCTTCAGGTTTGTGGAAGGGGGTCTGAGAGGGATGTTTTTTTTTTTAAAAAAGCAGCAGTCCAAATACCTCTCAACTTTCCCTTGTCTCCAAGGGAAGTGCATTTGTTACTTGCTCTGCTAAAGCATAAGCCCTTTGAAGGCTTTAGGAAAGGCAGCTTGCTCCCATGAACTGCAGTTTATCATTTCTTTCACAGCAAATTTCAGATCAGGCCAATCAGAATGGACCCTTCCCTAAAACTGAGCTTCACCCACAGTGAAAACTGTGACAAGTTCAGTCAGTATGGTTGCTAGGCTAGAATGCAGCAAGGGAATAAATTAGCTACAAAATAGTCAGAGTATCAAGCTTTTGTGCTCCTCTAAAATATCAATAAGTAGTGTTCTGGAGTTCTTGAAAGATGATGTGCTTGAAACACTGCCCTCCAGAGGCCACTGCTCCATACATTATGTAAGTCATACTGAGCTCTCTCTGGCTAAGCTCAAACATGGGCTTAAAAAGCATTTTAGAATAATATTGCCCTCCTGAAAAATAATATTATTAAAAGAAAAAAACATCTGAGGTAACCAAAGAGAGACACATTTTTATTTGTCAAGGAAACCTGACAACGTCTCTCTAGGTTCAGGACCTATTTGATGATATAAATCTGAGAAGCTGGCCAGGGATGCAGCTTAGTAAACTGAATTTTTCCCCTTTACAAAGAACCAGGAGGCTTAGAGTTCCTTTGGCACCTAAGTAACATGCAGGACTGCAGGGACTGCAGCAGGCTGACAGGGACTCACTTAAGGTGAGCTGCCAGACTTAAGACTTCAGACTACATCTACAGCGTGTGTATCTGCCTCAAAATGCCACAGATGTAGTTTGAAGACTTGCTGCCAGCCTCGAACCAAGGGAGCACTCCATCACCAACCCTACTGCATTCGTTCAGCTTTCTATCTCAGTAAACTCATTTTGGTGTATGTTTGTTTCTTTTCCAGATTAAATCTTCAGAGATTCTGCAAATGGAAAAGGTGGAATAAATACTGTAATAAAGAGGAATAAAGGCCACAAACAGCAAACAAAAGCTGCCTCTACAAAGTAACTCTGCCTGTGTTCAGCCAGGAGGCCTTCCTCTGAAGAGACAGTATCTTCCCTCCTTGCTTTTGAATGAGACCAGGGAAATCATGCAGATTGTGACTGTCATGGAAGGAACCTAACACTGAAAGGAAGAGTCTGACATTTCCAGTAGTTCAGCAGAATTGTGGTTATGCAAAGTTTAATACAACTGCATAACTTCAAGAAAAGCAAAAAGATCCTGAATTCTTTAAAAAGACCCCCCACACACTGGCTAAAAAGTCTGCTTTTTATGCCTTTTATGCTTTTATTGTATGCACATAAACAAACGTTTAAATGAGTAAGACCTCACTGCTATGGCAGCGGGCAAACTTCAACATACACCCCATGAATCTAAACAGTTACTGCTTGAAGTCTGACATTGAAAGTCGCAGGCATTCCTAGGTGCCATGGTTTAAGCCCAGCCGTAAATCAGACCATGCAGTCTCTCACTCCCCGCCTTTCCCCCAGCCCCCACTCCCTGAGGAATGTGGAGGAGAATCGAAAGAATGTAACTACCACGGGTTGAGATAAGAAGAGCCCAGTAACTAAGGTATAACACAAATCACTACTGCTACCACCAATAATAATAATGATAAAAGAAATAACATGGGGAGAGAATACAACCGCTCACCACCTGCCGGCCAATACCCAGCCTGACCTGAGCAGTGATCTAGCCCTTCCGGGTAACTGCCCCAAGTTCTACAGCCTGGGCATGACGTGCTGTGGTATGGAATACCCCTTTGGTCAGTTTGGGTCAGCTGTCCCATCTTGGCTTCCCCCCAGCTTCCCCTCCTCCCTGGCAGAGCATAAGATTCAGAAAGTCCTTGGTCAGACTAAACATTACTGAGCAGCAACTAAAAACATTGGTGTTATCAGCGCTGTTTCCAGGGTGAAAGTCAAAAACACAGCACTGAGCCAGCTACTAAGAAGGAGAAAAATGACTGCTACTGCTGAACCCAGGACAGTATCCACTCCTTATTCCATACCATTCACGTCATGCTCAAATCCCACATTTTCAATATACCATCACTCATCTCATATATATACATATATATATATACCCCCACAGAGAGAGAGAGAGAGAGAGAGACAGAGATCATTCCAATCCCTATTAAGCTGCTGAGTCCATCTGGTCCATAATGTCGTGCTCCATCTCTTCTAACAGTCTTTCAGAGCAGGAGAGGCTGTGTGCAGAGTTCACACTCGTGAATAACCTGGGCAATAGTGCCCATTGTTAAGTCCACCCCTTGATCATGAGTCCCTCTCTATGTTGCATCTCTGCCCTGATGGCCTGAAGTGTCATGGGCCCACTGGGCCAAAAAATAATTCATCCTCCCCTTCAGCAGTTTCTGCAACTTGTCACTGGGGACTCCATACAGCTGCCTTCCATCTCTGACACTTCCAAAGCACTGGAGGCTCCCAGTGCACTAGATACTTGCCCATACTGTCCCACACACCCTGACACTCATGACTGTTCAGCCTTGGGGAAAATCTCTTGGTGGTCCTCCTATACTGTTGTCTAATCCTAGACAAGACCCAAAAATGACACTACTTAGCTTTCGAGATCAGAAAAAATGGTCGTGGGTAAAACACAGTCTGTATGTGTGCCAACATGCTGATCCCCATCACAATCATCAGGGAGGTCTCAAGGGTACCCAAAGCCCATTCAAAACCTTCAGAACTCTCAAACGATGCTGCTGTACTTGTCACTGGGGCTGGTGTAGCTGCTGTGCCTGGGGCTGGAGTAGCTGCACTGTCTGCTGCTCTTGGAGTTTGAGTAGCTGCTGTACTTGTCGCTGGGGCTGGTGTAGCTGCTGTGTTTGGAGTTGGAGTAGCTGTGTTATCTGTTGTAGTCAGTTTGAGTAGCTGCTGTACTTGTCAGTAGGGTGTGCAGGAATGTCTCCCTCATAGGCTGACCACCTGAGGTGAGGAAAACAGTTATGTAATTGCTATACACTTCTATTGTATACCTCCCAAAGTATAGAGGGTGTGACCACACTGGGAACGCAAGCCAGATCAATTTCATGATCAGTGATTCTATTGTATTACAAGCCACTACCAGAAAGCACAGTGAGACAAGAACCTTAGCCCAAGGCCCCCAGCCGATAAACAGTAACACAGCAAATACCGGCTGTAAGTAAGGTACAAGCTGGAACTGTGAGATCAACACCAGCAACTTTGAGAGCCAATAAATCAGTATTGTGACGAGTGACTATTAATCCAAAACAATAAATGCGTATCATAAATAGGATTAGACACACTCCAGTCAGATCTGTCGTTATCTCAACCCCCTGTGCCCCACGCTGGATGCCAAAAAGTACTGTCGTGGTTTAAGCCCAGCCGCAAATCAGACCACGCAGTCTCTCTCTCACTCCCCTCCTTTCCCCCTGCCGCTCCCGGAGAAATGGGGAGGAGAATCAAAAGAACGTAATTCCCATGGGTTGAGATAAGAGCAGTCCAGTAACTAAGCTATAACACAAAACCACTACTGCTACCACCAATAATAATAATGATAAGGGAGATAACAAGGGGAGAAAATACAACCGCTCACCACCCACCAACCGATACCCAGCCCGAGACAAGCAGTGATCTAACCCTTCCAGGTAACTGCCCCCAGTTCTACAGCCTGGGCATGACGTGCTGTGGTATGGAATATCTCTTTGGCTAGTTTGGGTCAGGTGTCCTATCTCTGCTTGCTACTGGCTTCCCCTCCTCCCTGGCAGAGCATAAGACTCAGAAAGTCCTTGGTCACAGTAAACATTACTTAGAAGCAACTAAAAACGTCGGTGTTATCAGTGCTGTTCCCAGGCTGAAAGTCAAAAACACAGCACTGCATCAGGTACTAAGAAGGAGAAAAATGACTGCTACTGCTGAACCCAGGACACTAGGAAAACACTGTTTCATTTTTGTAAAAAAAATAATTGTGTTCCTTATTTCTGCAAATACAAATTTATGAGAGTAATTATATTCAAATCATTTTAAAATTAACATTTTAATCACTTAACAGTAACAGAACATGAAGAAGTCATTAAGTGCATGTAAGACTCAGCGTAAAGGCAATCCTGAGCATCTGTACTACGCAAATTGAGGTTAGTTCTACCTCTGCAGATCATGTTTCATAGCTATTATCTAGATTTAGAGCAGAAAGCAACATAAAAAAATTTCTAGTACTTTTAAAATATCTAATGGTAAAACTAGGTCTGGGTCACAGCAAACAACTTGCTGGATACAGATCTGCTCTTGCTAGCCCAGGACTTAAATTATTAAGAAAAGGAAAAAGCTTGAAATTACCATTAGAAGGGAAAATAACCCAAGCTTTAAACAAAATGCCTCTAAAGATCCTAAAAGAATGCAAAGGCCTTCTTTTTCCCCTTTATTGGCTAATTTGCTCTTTCCTCCCAGTCTCCTGTCATTCCCATCTACTAGCCTTTCACCTCCTTCCTTGACAGATCAAGGCTCTTCTCTAAGGGTTAACTCTATTTTTGCCGCTGCAGCATTACACTACTGAACACAGACACAAGTCAACAAATACCGTAAATGAAAACATATATGTGGTAGCAAATCCTGAAAGAGCACTGATGACCTGTATGCTATTATGGATTCAAAGACAAAGAAGCAAGTCCTAAATCACTCGAGACACAATAACATCCCTTAGGCCCTATTTTTTTATGTTTTGAAATTTCCTTTTCTCTAACATGAGTTTTGGAATTCTTTACCTTGACTAAAAAGTTAACATTGTGTTTACTTCACTATAAAGTGGCTTGAGAAATTTGAATTCAGATGCCAATCAGAAAAAATGACTGTGGCATCCAGAGTAGGTAATTGGCACATTTACAACATAGTTCAGAAATAAGCCTAGAGCTGCTATGCAAATCCTTCCTTTCTGAATGACTAAAGGTGACAGGCAGTCAATTACAAGGCAGAGATTTACATCCTTTGAGTTATTTAGATAATATTTGTGATTATTGAAAGCAGACATTGAAGATAAGAGGTAATGAGTGTGTAGCACGAATTTAAAGGATGAGGAGGCATCAGCAGGTATGGCCTGTCTTTAAACTCTTTGACAATTTATTACATGACAGAATATACCACAAATTCTGTGCCTACCTTCAACTGCAGAACTTTGCAATTATATATTGCCTTAGGAGCTGACACATATTTTCAGAGCTCTGAGGTTATCAGAGCTCAGAGGTTATCAGGTTATATGAGGTCAACATTTCTGGGTTTTTCATTAAAAGACAAATCTTGAAAAGCAGAAAACACACAGCATTTTGGAGAGTTTGGTGCTATCTGATCTGATCATATATGGCTGGCTGCAAGTTATATGTTGACAGCAATTGAAGGCATGACAACCATATGAGTTGTTGCTATAAACCCAATGGAACCTTTTCATGAATTCAAGGATAAGAAGTATTATACAGGCCTATAATTTCAGATAATTGCTATATGCTGAGCAATTGTAATGACAAGAAATTGCCTTCTCTTTTTTTTTTTTCTTTCTTCTTTTGGGGGCAGGGTGCAGGTGTGGTTTTGATTTACCCTATCTGAAAGCAGACTCCAGAACTGTGTAATCCTGTCACTAGAACTACAGAGACTCCTTTGTAGCCATTGTTCCATCTTTTTGGATTCGCTGGATCTGGTAGCAACATTTTCACTTTATTTAATTTTCACTTTTATTTAATGCTGATATTACTTGACCTCCAGAATAAGGTAAGTCGTAAGATTTCATTAAATAACTTCTACTACAATTCTATATCCTTTTATAACAGTTTTTTAGTAACAACTTCAAGCAATAAACTTCATAATGTTAAGAGACCTTAATTCACTTTTAGACCTGTTATTAGTCTGTTTGCTCTTTTTATATTGTATTTTGGATCATTTTATATGATTGAGTGCAACGCTAAGGAGTGCGCTACAGTGAAAAGTGTACTTCCTAAGAAGAAACGCATAGAACAATCAATATTTTGCCTCCCTTTTTATTAAAGTTTTCAGATTATAAATGGCTATGTTCTTATTTCTTAAGAACATAGCACATTTTAGTACATGCCTGTTTTCCATAAATTCTCATTAAACTTTGCATATATATCTGTACATATATGACGGGGAGTCAAATGACATGAAAACACCCTGCCTTTTTTTTTAATATAGAAAATATTTATGGGAGAACATAACATGAAATCTTGTTCTCTATCATATACCTTGGACTTAAAAAAAAAAGATATTAGAAGAGCAAATATCAAGTTTTAGTGCTCTGTGGCATTAGAAAAATGAAAAAAATCATGAATGCCAAGACCAAATATTTAGAAAACACAGGGACATTTCTTAGCAGTGTTTTATAAACCCATTTTGGCAGAAACTTACAATACTTAATAAAAAAAATTATGCACACCAAAAACATCTTTGTTGATGACCCATGCTATGTCAGGAGTTAAACTTAACCTCAACCTCTATGCTGATTTTAATCAAAATCTTCAGAGCACTAAAATTAAAGCAGTAGCTGAAGTGGAGTTTAGGATTTTGGCAGGAGCCATCTTTGACAGTTTTGGCATTTCCAAAGGAGTCCATATTAATATTTCCATAGTGCCAATAGCTTAATGGGGTTATAGGCAGCTGAATCATCACATGAAGTATAGATAACACATTTCAGAGTCTTCTATTAATGAAATGACAACCAATTATTTGGTTGGTTAAACCTGTGCAAGATCCCTTGATCTAATATTACTTTGGGCTTTTTGTTTTACATATCTTGTGCTGAGGAGATCAACAGTTAATACAATCATCTCCTGGTGCTCATTAGCATCTTATGATGCTACTATGATGCTACCACAAGGTAAGACTGAGCACTTGGCTCTTCCTAGATAACGTTCTTAATAACACTTCTGACTTTGCACTTACACTGGATTTTACAGGGTGAAGACCAACTTACTCCACACATGCACGTAGGCACATATATAGAATCATAGAATAGTTAGAGTTGGAAAAGACCTTAATATCATCTAGTTCCAACCCCCCTGCCCTGGGCAGGGACACCTCACACTAACCATGTCACCCAAGGCTCTGTCCAAACTGGCCTTGAACACCGCCAGGAATGGAGCATTCACAACTTCCCTGGGAAGCCCATTCCAGTGCCTCACCACCCTTATAGTAAAGAATTTCTTCCTTACATCCAGTCTAAACTTCCCTTGCTTAAGTTTTAACCCATTACCCCTTGTCCTGTCACTACAGTCCCTAATGAAGAGTCCATTCCCAGCATCCTTATAAGCCCCCTTCAAATACTGGAAGGCTGCTATGAGGTGTCCACGCAGCCAGTGGACAGTCCAGGATGAACAGTCCCAACTTTCTCAGCCTGTCTTCATACGGGAGGTGCTCCAGTCCTCTGATCATCCTTATGACGCTCCTCTGGACTTGTTCCAACAGTTCCATGTCATTTTCTGTTGATGACACCAGATCTGTACATAATAACTCCAAGTGAGGTCTCACGAGAGCAGAGTAGAAGGGCAGGATCACCTCCTTCGACCTGCTGGTCACACTCACAGTATCACAGTATCACAGTATGCTAGAGATTGGAAGGGACCTCGAAAGATCATCTAGTCCAATCCCCCTGCCGGAGCAGGAACACCTAGATAATGTTACACAGGAATGTGTCCAGGCGGGTTTTGAATGTCTCCAGGGAAGGAGACTCCACAACCTCCCTGGGCAGCCTGTTCCAGTGTTCCGTCACCCTCACTGAGAAGAAGTTTCTTCTCAAGTTTAAGTGGAACCTCTTGTGTTCCAGTTTGTACCCATTACCCCTTGTCCTATCATTGTTTGCCACTGAGTAGAGCCTGGCTCCGTCCTCGTGACACTCCCCCTTCATATATTTATAGACACTTATAAGGTCACCCCTCAGTCTCCTCTTCTCCAA